TTCTTCCTAGAGTGCTAGGATTACAGGTGTGAGCCACTGCACCTGGCTCATTGCTTGTTTTTAAAATTTCAAATTCCAAGTTTTATTTCCAGTTCTGTTTCAATGGACAAATTTCATGTTTGGGTGAAAGAGCTGTTCTGTAAGAGATACACTGATATGTCTGTTTAACCCAAGAAGTAGGGCTCGTACTAAGCCAACCAAGTCATCAGAGAACGGATGTAGCCCTCATGTTACTCGCATCAGAGTAGAAGCTCAAATGAGTTTTACTCAGGTTCCAAATGGGCTAGTGATGCCTTTGATGACTGTTGAATCTGTAAGGTAATGCCTAGTCTCATTTCCAGAGTCAGACCAAGGGAAGTACAAACACTGGCTCTTCCACTCACACAGCTGCGAGGCTTTGGGTGGTCACTTACCTTCTCTCTGACTCTTACTTTCCTTGTATATAAAATGAGGGGGTAAAATAATACTAACCCCTTCATAGTCATTGTAAGGATTAAAGGGGATGTTGCATTTTGATCCCTTGGCACAGTTTGGCACGTGGTAAACAGCTACTCAATATCACTTAATCCAGAGCATTATTGTGATCTTCGGCAAGTCATGTATCCTCTTTGATAAAATGGAGATGGTGCTCACTATTCTACCTTTAGACCCCACTACAAAGCCTGGCACATAATTGATACTTGAAAAACATTTCTTCATTGAAAGAATGGCGAGGAAGACAAGAAGCTCTTCTGTAACTACTGTACAGGATTGTCAGGAGGCTCAAGTGAGCTTGGGAAAGACCTCAGTGGGCAGTGAAATGATATCCAAAGATAAGCCGGGCATCCTTGATTGGTGTCTTTCCAGCACTTTATACATTATGTCTCATATCTGAGACACTGGTTGTTAGCACTGTTCAGTGAACTCTCCAGAGTTTAATTATTCAACTCTCTGGAAATTCAGAATTCTTAGGCAGGCCCCCCCTGGATAGGCTGCCTTCGTGGTGCAAGGTCATAGGACAGGGGAAGGATCTCCTGACCCTTGAACTCATTCACTCTATTTGACTGATTGTGGCCTTGAATTTCAAAATTGGGGCTTTATACCTCAGCTTATTGGACAAGGGATTTGAAAAACACATAACTCACCTCAGTAGGAAATTAGTTTCTTCCTTCCCTTCCCGAGGGTAAAGTTTGATAAATCGTGTCATAGAGTACCAGAGAGGCACCAGGAAAAAACAAACGTAGGGTGATGACCCTACTTGTGATCCGGGGCACGCTATTAACCCTCTTTCTGCCTCCTCGTTCTCCATCTATAACATGTGGTAATAGCAGTAGGTCGTCTCAAGTAAGAAAAGGCGAGCCGTGCAAAACATGGCGGTTAGGAGCCAGGACGGTCGTCTCTCTTGATGAGGCAGTCCCTGAAAAGGGCCAAGGGAAGCTTCTGGAACACTCGTCATGTTCATCATCTGGATGCTGGTAACACTCACCAAACTAATAAGATATGTACATTGCTATGTATCTGTATTCTTTTAATAAGTTTTTATTTTTATTTATTTTTTTTTGAGACGAGTCTCACTATGTCATCCTTGGTAGAGTACCATGCCACAGCTCACAGCAACCTCAAACTCTTGGGCTTAAGCAATTCTCTTGTCTCAGCCTCCTAAGTAGCTGGGACTACAGGTGCCCGCCACAACGTCTGGCTGTTTTTCTGTTGCAGTTACCATTGCTGCTTAGCTGGCCCAGGCTGGGTTTGAACCCGCCAGCCTCGGCTTATGTGGCTGGTGCTCTAATCACTGTGCCACAGGTGCTGAGCCAATAATACATTTTTAAACATCCGTGCAAACTACGTGATGTATAGTAAGTATTCCATTGGCACATACTAAATTAGTAGTCATTACCCTTATCTTCTGCTGAGTAATTACCATCTAAGACTTTTAAATCATTCTCAAACATCAGGAAAATGAAGAACAAGGAAAAAGAAATGCTCACTGAAGGCAGCCTTGACCGTGTGCTCAATGCTCAGTGTATGGATATCTGTACTTAAGGGTTGGGAAATTATGCTAACTAGATTTTTTTTTTTTTTT